AAGCTCAGTATTCCCAGCACTGAAATAACTACTTAACTTACAATAACAAGCAAATTGAATAAATCATTCACTTATTACTCATTAACTAACTAACGAACTCGCTAACTCAATAACTCCTTCTTAACAGACTAAACACACACTAGCCTAATTCGTTTTTGTTTTGTTATAGAGCTTTGGAGAAAATTCCAGACATTACTTTATACCTCTTTCTGGGTAAACAGTACAACACATTTCAAGAAACGTCTAGAGTGATGCCAATTTTTAGGAATTTGTTTTAGTGAGATATTTGAAAAAGTAAACTTTTATCGCGCGGTAAAGTGCTGTGAACGCCTAAGACGGGCGTCTTCTAGGTGTATGTGGGGGCATGGTCCCCCAGAAATTTTTTATTCGCTGGTGCAAGTTGGTGCATTTCCTGGATCAATGTGATGCAGAATTTGAATTGAATCCAGTCGATAAACCAACCACAGTAAGTTATGGAAAGCTGCTACTTTGACTAAAACAAGATTTTTTACTAACGAGCGTGAGCGTGAGAATGGGACCCAGTACTTGAGTGTCGGTTCCTGTGTGTTTAAATTAAAACAACAACAAAACAATCAAACAAAACACAGGCTATAACAGCAGTATCAGAAGTTAGGTCTTCCTGGAACCACCTCCTATTTCATGTTTTCAGAAACTAAGGTGCTACTTCTGTGTAAACCACGCAAACACGGTCTTGGCTAAAGGAGTATCAGATATACATATATATGCAGGCCCACCAAGGGCCCACAAAAATGCCCCAACTTTAAACTCGACTTTTTAAAAATTTGCATACTCTTAAGCTAAGAATCCAGAGACCAGAAAAACTGATGCGAAATTAGTCTACAAGCCAAGTTCAAAATGGAAAATAGCATAACTTTAGACTGAATAAAGGAATTTCCTTCAAACATAGTTATAGCAATAGAACATTCAAAAACTGCTGGTAATGCTATTGCAACTGACACTAAAAACAAAGATTTAATAATAAAAACATTTGCTTTAAAAAAGGCACGAAAAGCATGTTTCGTTTAGTTATCACAATTCTGCATTACTGAACTCATTAAAGTAATTCTTGATAATGTGTTTAAACTTTCAATAAATTATCCAATTAAATGAACAGATTTTTCATTTTTTCTTTTCTCAAAATGATATTATCGATTGTTAAAGGCCTTTGTCCACGGAAAATTTCACAAAGAAAATCGGCACTTAAGCCGTAACTTAGTGGTATTAAGACTTAAAATATTGCTAAAATTACTGAAAGTCTAGAGCTTCCCTCTTGGTCTTCCATCAGGGACTCAGCTCCTGAATCCCTACGGGGTCCGGAGCGACCCTAGCCCCGGGGCCCGCCGCCTTTCTCGACGGCCCTTTATATACATTCTTGTTTAGCTAGAGTAAAGGAAATCAACTGCTAAATCATTATGAAAAAGAAAAATTAAACGATGAGGAAGTACAACTGAAAAATCACAACATTCTCGAGAAATAGCTTTTGCTTAAAGTTAAACATGTAACAGGTTAATTTGTAGAACATATAAGTAACGCTGGTCTCTTTCTCATATACAGTTCCGATGTTTAACTTCACTTGAAAAGGAACAGAAATAGAAATACAGTATTTGTTTTTAGACTGTGAAAAAGTAATTCATCTTGATAGTCATGTGTAAGGCATTTAGGCACGATTCCAGCAGCATTCCTCAAAAAAATACTTGCTTAAAACTATTTATTACGGCTTTCAGTGGGATAAAGAAAATAACATACATACAACATTTCGCCGGTCTTTACCCAGCATCATTAGGTAACATACAGAGCCCAAGAACAGAAAAAAATCGGTGAAACGTTGTACGTATGATATTGATAAATTGTTCAGCCCTTTGCTTTCACTGTTTTATTACTTGTCAACTTCTGAAGAGATAACGGGTGGTACCAGGATGTTTGTTAAGGGGATGTTAATTTCAAAAATTTTTCTTTTGTTGTCTTCTAATTCTTTATTTCAAATACAAGTATTATCTGGTGAAAATCTGTTTTATATGTTTCTATTGAATTCAAATATGTGTGACGAAGGACGATTATATTCTTTCAAGCAAGTTCCTAAATTTCACCTATGTACGTAGCATTTAAATCATTTATTGGTCTATATGGCTTGGGTACTTAAATTCTGTAGATGATTTACTGTACAATAGAGTGGCGTTTTTTACGTCGCTTTATCAAATTTCCAGTCAAAAGTAATATAAACTACAAAGCAGCTTTTCAACGGAGTATTATCATAGCTGGAACTAGCTGTGGGGTGGGGGACCTCCCGAAACTAACGGCGACGGCGTTCATTAATCTAATTATAGATTTGGCCCCGTTATATATCTCATTGCCTCTTAAATATACACTCACTTCGCCTTTTCGGGTATATCGTTACCTTCAGTTTTTGTTTTCACCTCATGGCGGGAATAAGGCTAACAAGAAAAACATTATCACCCCTCCAAAAAAGCTTCTCGTTTGTACTGTTTGATTCTGATAAAGCCAGATGCTAATCTGAGTGATAGTAAACACCAACTGTTGAATTTTTTCCATTCCACATTTCTATTCCTCAATAATTAGTTTGGCACATTTCATTATTAAGTAGACTGCTTTTCTTCAGCAATGTCTGGCACTTTGCAGAGCTTCCACTGTTCCAGTATCAAACAAATATACTGCGAAATAAACTTTGTTTTATGATGTGTTAAAGTAAAGTTCTAAACTATAGTTATGTTGCGTCATCGAGATCACGTGACTATTCTCACGCCCTCTAGTTTCTAGAACTATCTTGTTCCTTCATGAATGCCCTAGCATTTACTAGATAGGGTAGTCTGGTATATATATAAGAGGGTGACAACGTGACGCAATAATGTGTGTATAGACAGTGAGTAATTGAACTGCAGTCCGAGAGCACGAGAAACGTTCTTTGAGAGTTATAGCGTTTGTTGAAAATAAGTGTATCTTAGAGTTGTATTCGGAAAGAATAAACCAGTTTTATAAAGTAAGGACTTGTGTCGCTAAAGTTTCGTCGGAACGAAGTTACGGAAAGTTAATTAACAAACTGAGATGTAACAGTTAGTTAGAAGACTAAAATTTTATTAAAATCACAGCTTATTAGAATGTTATAATACAAGTAGTCAGGTTAGTTAAAACACAGTGTAAGCTCTAGGTAGTTACAATGTCAACTTTAATTACTAAAAAGTCTGCTAGATTTTTAAAATACATTTCAAAAATATTGTTGAACTCGCAGTTTGCCAGAATATTAGAATACAGATAGCCAGGCTAGCTAAAACATAATGGAAATCCCAGCAACATCAGTTACAAGCAGCTAGTTAGAATCTTAAAAATACAGAATAAACAACTGCTAGCCATAAGGCTAAATATTGTTAAAATCACAGCATGCCAGAACATTAAGACACAGTTAAAACTACAGATACTCTGGCCATTAAAACATAGTTAAAAATCACAGCTAGCCAGAATGGTAAAATATAGGTAAAAACCACTGGTAGGAAAAATAAATAGTTAAAACCACAGATACTTAAAAAAACAAGTGGAAGAACTGCCTATGTTGGGATGGCTTGGATTGTTCATCGAAATGTTATTTTAAATATCTCCTTAATAGGTCATCAGAACTTTACAATACTATACAATGTTTCCTTTTATAACAATATCTATGTAATGACTGAGTCATAAGTTCTGAGGATGTCAGTAAATATCATAGCAAAAAGTTTGAATTTCTTGTTCTTTTTTATTACATGATAACTCAAAAACCAAAACAATTGTGTCAACCAATTTCACTGAGTTTACATAGTTTCAAATGGAGTATCTGCCTTTATAAGTATTATTACTAACTAGTATTAATTAAAAAAAAAAAAATTCTAGTGTAAACAATGTTATCATTACCCCTTGAAATTAGCTTTCTTACAGAAATTTGGTGTTCTAAATATTCCAGTTTGGAACTTCATTGTATTTAGAACTTGGCTATAAATACAACCTCCCTATGTCTATTAAAACACTGCATTTAAAAAACAAGCAAACAAATAAAGAAAAAACTTTTCAAGGAAGGAAGTAAATGTAGGGATGGCTAATATCAATCCTTCAAAAACAACGTAAACAAGATAGTAGGAATGACATTTGCATCATCCCTACAAAATAGCTCAGGCAAGAATTAACATATAGCAATATATATAACTATTCAATCACAATTGAGTCTAATCCTATTTTTGACTGTTAATATTCTGCTATACTGTGTGCCTGTGCTATTATGTAGGGATGATGCAAATGCCATCCCTACTATCTTATTTGCATTATTTTTGAAGGATTGATATTAGGCATCCCTACATTTACTTCCTTGTTTCAAAAGTCTTTTATTTAATCATTACACTGAAAGTCATGGGTAATCAGGACATTAAACCATGCTTAAAACCTTAAAACTATACAGGTGGTCAGAATATCAAGATGGAGTTAAAATCATAGATTATTAAAAAACGTTAAAATGCTGTTAAAACCAATGAAAGCCATAGCAATAATAAAGTATGATTCAAATTAAAAGTGTGATATAATTAACTAGAATTTTAAAAAAAATTGGATCAAGTTTTTGTTATCTTTCTTTCCAAGCTTTCTGTTTGTTTTTTCTTCTATTATCCCCACATTAATTCCATTTCCTCTTTTGTGTTTCGTAACTTTTATCTTCCATTACAGAATTTTTCTATCAGCTTCTCCATTCCTTTCATTGTACTTTGTTTAATTATAATCTAATCTTTTTTATTTAATGACCCTTCATCTTTTATAACAATCTCTTTACTATGAACTACTTTTGCTTTCCTTGTGCTATATTTTTTATGTCTTGTTTTTATTTAATTCTTATTTATTCTTTCTTTATTATTTAGTTATTACATATTTGGTGTGTGGTATATCGAACACAAAAACAGTAATATGTTACCATGATTTTTCCAAACTGATATTATGTATTGTTTACAAAACAGAGGAGGAATGAGGATTTGGAGACCCACAGTGACAGTTGGTGTAGACTCTAGTAGCCCTGATGTCAAACCAGTCACCAAGACATCTCTGGCTGCAACCAAACAGGTAGATCTAACTGTTACTTTTTCTGTTTACCAAGGTGAGAGATAAGCCAGCAGTATTCCTACATGGGAGTGAAACAAAGAGGCTGCATTAACAGAATGACATGTTATAAGAAGAATGGCTGTACTGTATTGTTATAAACAAAATTCTCTAACAATATAAACAAAATAACTTTAGTCTTTGTAGTACTACATATAATCAAAAATGTCTTACAATATTTAAATCCTATTTGTCTGCAGATTTCTTTCCCAAAGTCCTTTTAATTATCCCATTACTAACTTGGAATCAGCAATAGATAAAAATTGCATTTTAAATATGCCTTTTCCCAAGGGAATGGAAAGCAAAACAACATCTAGAGTCAAATGTGATTTCAAGTCACAGTGCTTAACGAGCTTAAGCATTTTACATCATTGCAATATATTTGATTTGTTGTATACAAACATCATTTCAACTTAGAAGTTGTGGTGGTGAACAAAAGGCTCCCTAAGCAGTGCCTTGTGACAGACAAAAGAATATGTTTGAAATGCTATTTTCACACACCTCTGATTCACAATCCACATGAACAAAAAAGGAATTTGAAAAAACATCTGCAGTCAAATGTAACTTTAGTCACTTTTGTTAAGCCTTAAAAGTCTCATTATTTTGCCAGCCCAAGTTTTACACAACCTTTAAATTTTGTTTATGAACAAAATGACCTAATAGTTTTATTTATAAACAAAAGTATCTAAAGCTAATTTTATATACTTTTTTAAATGCACACAGCCAGAATAACTTAAGACTGTGCTTTTTCTGACCAGAATTATCATATAATGTTATCTTTAAACTATTATATAACAGTACTGTTCATGTCACAATGGAAGTTAAATGACATTGCTGTTAATAAACAGAATTACTTAACAGTGCAAGTCATAAATTTACCAAACTATATTGTTACTAAATATAATTGCAAAATATGAAGTAATAGTATTCTTTTTTAAATAATATTTCCTAAGGGTATTGTTCATAAACAGAATCAAACAAAAATACTGTACTATTTATGCATATGATAGATCTACTGATCTTTGTAGTATTTTTTGGGATATTGGGATGTTGAAGTTTTATAATTATGAATAATTTCTTTTAATTGTGCTCAACATTATTCATGTAGGAGTCTTTGAATATCGGAAGCAAACATAATGTAAGTGCTAAACCTTTCATCACTGGAGAGGACGGACAGATGAAAACAATTGTCCACAACCAGTACAACTCTCCAGCCAACATCTATTCCATGAACAACATTACTGATACTCTTTCAGCACAGACTGAAATCTTGACAACTGGGGCCAAGGGGTAAAAAAAACAAAATTTTTATATTAAGTTAGGTTTTACAATAAAATTTTAATCTCTTTTTTTTTTTATTTCCATATTGTCATAATAGACAAAGGTAATTTAATTTTCTAATTTTAAGATTAAAACATATTCTTGTTTCTGAGATATTAAACAGTAAGGTAAAGTACAAATTGGTGCCACAAGTATGTATTTCATCTGAACTCTGTGGGTTTTGAAAGATCTGTGATGAATTTCCAGTTAGAAAAATTCAAGGTGGAATATGTTTGATTATCTGCAAACATTTGCTTATTTTGTCATTTTAATCATATAATAACAATAGTTTCAGCTATTCTAAAGATAACTACACAACATGAACTGTTTGTATGCTCTTTTTATATAGGATCAATTTTATGAAGGAGCAGCAGCCTGTGAACAAAGATTCTGCTGTGTATAGGATGGTGCATGAAGAGGATATCCCAGTTGCCACAGGTGAAGATGATGAAATGAGCTTTCAGGGGATATCAAATCCCAGTACCCAGTCCCAAGCTTTTCGTAAACTCCAAATGGCTTTAGATAGGGGGGAAGGTAAGCCTCTGAATCAGAGGGAATGATTACAGAAAAGTTTAAAAAATTCTCATTTGTTTTCAGTCGCAATATTTCAAAATTGATTCTTTAATTTTCTTGAAACTGAATTATCAAAAATGAGTAATATTTAGTTTTCTAGAAATCTCTTAGTTCTTCTTGTAAAAATGTCCTTTTCAACATAAGTACAGCTGAAACCAGAAAAATGAACATTTTACAAAGTATAGAATGTCTCCAGATTTTTCAAAATTTGAAACATTTTTCTTTATAGATGTATACCTTAATTTTGTAACTTTAATTTTTTGCCTCAAAACTTTCATTATTTAAAATTGACACATTGAGAAGCATTATCACTGTGTACAAGGATAATTCCAGCTAAAATCCTCAGGTAGTATTAGAATGCTTCAGTTTATATGTGTTTGGCACTTTCAACTCTTTCCCTCTGATTCAACTACTAGATGGCTAACAAACTCTTCATGGGAGTAGTTTCCACTCTTGTACTTTTCAGTCAGTAAGTCCATTATTTTCTGCTAACTAATATCTCTGCTTGCTTTTCTCCTGTAGTTGTAGGTGTAAGTCTGACCTAGCCGGGTAAGTTCTGATTTATTTATTGTTATTAACCCTGCCTGGTTTTTTAATTCCATAGAACTTTTATTGTCTCTTGTTTCATCTCTGAAGATATGTATTTTATTTATATTTTATGGTAATATTTTACATATGTAACCTCAAAACAAACTGATAGAAACAAATAATTTTTAGTTACTAAATAAATTTTCTACTTCAAACAGTGTAAAGTATTTTTAAAATACTCTTACAGTATACTTTTTTTTTCACTTAAGTAGTTTTTGATATGAAGTTCAAGTAAATGACAACACCTAGCTAGCCTGAGTAATGTAAGCTAAAATTGATTAAATCTGTAATCCTAAGCTAGTTGTATGTTTTTTTGCTTAATATGAGCTTGTACATTTCACAAAATATAAGATTATATCTGCTTTATGGTAAGAAGCCCTGTTTTCTATGTCTTTTATTATAATTGGAAGATAATGTTAGCAATAATTATTGTTTGTATTAATATACAGATAATTAATGGTTTAAGACAGTTTTTGATTTTCTGAAATGATTATTTAAGTTTGAGTTGATAAATTCTACTGTTTGATTTCATTGATGGTTTTCATAACTATTCTTATAAACTTCAAACAATATATTACACATTTGTGTAATATTTGAGTATTTTTACAACTATTTTAAACACATTATGGATGCTAATTTTCTTTTAAAATCAGACTCTGAAGGCTTAGATTTTTGTTATATAAATATATTCCATTTAATAATAGATTCAAGCAATTGTAGAAGGTACCAGAGTATTAGACATTTGTACTCTAGCACATAATTTGCTCTAGTATCTTTTAGTATTTTTAGAATAAGTTTGTTCTTTGACATTAAATGTAGATTTTTAGTTTTTAAATTGTGTTATTTCAGTTGGTATATTTTATTTAGTTAATTTTGCAAATTCCATGTAGCAACTATTAATTTGTTCTTTATTACATAGAATCTCCTACTCCTGCAAGTGGAACAGTAAAACATGTGGAAGTTCCTAAACCAAAACCCCAATCTGAAAAACCTGTAGAACCCTCAGCCAATCAGAATCTTTGTGCTGAATGTGGTCGTCTAATTGTGTAAGTCTTCTCACCATTTATTTGTGGTTGTGTCTTGCTCACATAGAATTAACATAAACATTTCTAGTCGACCTATATGATTGAGATAAGGGCTCATATATCAGTTTCTCCATTTCACTGAAGTACATACAGTATTATGGGATCAAGTTTGTAGAGATTATTCAGAGCTAAAAGAATGATGCTATGATCTGAAGGCTTTACCTTTTCCTCATTTATTAGTCAGAATATAAGTGGAAAATAAAACTAAGTTTGTTTGTTTTTTTTTGCTCTGGAAAATTTCACATTATGGATGTGTCTATAGAAAAGTTAACTTTGGATTCCTTAATTATTTATTATCAACAATATATAATTATAAGTTTCTGTGTCAAACTCAAGTAGTGGCTATTAAACAGTGTACTAGTAGCTGTGACAAGACATTATAGCATATGAATTAAGACATATGTTTATAAGGTTATGTTGTATAACAGAAAATCCTTAAGAATGATGACCTGCATACGGTAGTGAAGTCTTTAGATTTTTAAAGTTTTTCATCTGGAGCATATAGCTACACATATTCAAGATAGTATCTTAAGACACTGTTAAACTAATAATTATATTTTGTACAAATTATATGATTATTTTATCCAAGTAACTAAATTACTTTAGGAAAATAAAAATAACCTATAATAAAGCATTAATTAGAATTTTGAAGTAGTCACATTTTTCATTACTCTTTACAATATCAACATTTACAAAAACTTCTTTATATTGTTGCTTTCAAGATTAGCTTAAAAAATATGCATATCATTGAATTTTTTACTTTTTATCAAAGAACATATATAGTGTTTTTTGTGGCAAAACACTCAAATTTATACTTGAAATTGACAAGACCATTTCGTGGGCTTAAGCAGTATCTTATAGAATGCAAAATATATTAAATTATAGTTTTTGTGGTTAGATAGTTCTCCGTTATTCTGTATACAAAAAGTTTGCTTAAAGTTTCCATCATGCAGTGATAAATAACCCAACTTAACAGAGTGAATACTTGGTTGACTTTCAACTTATTAAAAATAAAGGTAATACTTTATTTGTCTTAAACAGAATAAATCTAGAAAGAGATGATGCTCTGCTGACCCTGAACAGGATAACACTTAAGGTGATATTCCATTCATTCTAAACAAAAATAAACTAAGTTCAGGTGATACTTGTTTAACCCTGAATAGAATCAGGTTGCAATGCCCTGAATAGCATTGAACTAAGTATACCTCTTGCTATGTTGCTGAAAAGAGTCAAGTTAAGTAGAAATTATGATTTTTTTCATCTTGAATAGAGTCAGAATAATAGAAACGATTCTCTGCTTGTCCTAAACAGAAATTGGACAAAATAAATGTACTACTCCCCACATTTCTGGAGAAAGTTGAATGTGCTATAATGTACACATTTTATGGAAATCAGAAAAAAAAAAGCAAAGTACTCTATTTCTCCTATCGAAACAGATTCAGATGAAATGGATATTCACACATGTTTGACCATAATCAGGCTAAGTGATACATAATAAACTGTTCCTCCTGAAAAAATTAGACCAAATAAAGATGACGCTCTGATCAATCTGAACAGAATCAGGCTAAGTGTGTTTACTCTCCTTCCAAACTGAACAGAATCAGAAAAAGTGAACATGTTTCCTTGCACTGAATTGTGTATAATGGATAAGTTACTCTCCTAAGCATAATCTGTCTGAGTGATTGTAATACTATGTTTATTCTGAAAAGAGTCAGAATAATTGTAAATAATACCTTGCTTACACTGAAGAGAATTAGACTAAGTAAGGATGATACATTGTTAATTCAGTACAGGAAGAGGTTAAGAAAATTATAATCTGTTCATAATGTTACTTCAGTAAGTGATGCAAACAAGTTTAAAAATAAAAGTGAATCTAAGGCATATAGATTGCTTTAATAATAAATAACATGTAAAACAAAACAAAAATGTTAGTAAATGTGAGGTAACTGTAGATGATGTGCCATGTTGCTTCTGACTCACTGTATTGTTTAAAATATAAATAAGTTGAAAAAAGATAGTAGTGTCTCCAATGTGAACAAGAATTGAATATACAGTGTACTGAATCTACTTAGTCCAATTCCATCTAGGATAAACAGAGTATCACTTGTAGTTAGTTTAATTCTGTTAAGGATGAATAAAGCATCACTTCAAGTAAGTTTGATTACCATCAGAATGAACAAAACATCATTTCTACATAGTCAAATTCTGTTTATAGTAAACAAAGCATTATTGCTATTTAGTCTAATTCTGTTTAGAGTAATGAGAGTACACCCTCACCTTAGTTTTCCTTTGTTCAGGGTGAAAAGAGCATCATCTTTACTTAATTTGATTTTCTCAGATACAAGTGAAGTAAATATTCTTCCACTACATTAAATCAAAAAGCTTTTTTCTTGAACTTGTTTATATTGTTTACTAAAGTAATGGTTGCTTTTTGATTTAGCATACTGGAAGTATACTTACTATACCCCAATCATAATGTTATATAATTTCAGTGGAGTGTTTGTGAGGATAAAGGACAAGAACCTTCATTCAGAGTGTTTCAATTGCAGCACTTGTGGTAATTCATTGAAAAATGCAGGTAACTATTAGGTTTTATAATATGGATTTACTTAATTTCATGCTGAGAAAAGTTATATGTCAACATACTTGTAAAACTATTATCATAATTAAGCTTTTTATGACCATTCAATTTTTTATCATGCTGTTATAAGTATTCCTTGTAATGGACATCTCCTTGAATAAGGTATTCATATTTTAAACTCTAAATAAATCTTGTAATCTAAACTGGTTTGTAAAGAACTAACAGTTATTTTGAAACAGAACTTTTACCAGATCACTAACCTGAATGGGAAACTACAGAAGTTAAAAACCTTACTGAACCCAAAAGTGACTTATAGCTCATGTGACTTGGAAATTCTAGGGCATGGTTTTAAAATGTATGTCACATGTAATATCTGGTTTTGTGAAAAATCAAAACACAAGTCTGCTTATTCAATGCTTAAAGGTACATTTCCTAAGACTGATAACAACCAGATGTTGGACTTTTAGAAACACTTTATATTTAATTATGTTTTTTTTATGTTATACTTTAGGTTCTCAGACTTTTCCTTCTAAACACTGTGCTTTTAAGTCCCTAATGTTGAATAATTAAGTATATTTTATTTTCTATAAGAAATTTGTTTTTCAAAAGTTTTGTAAAGGCTGATGAAACTGTATTTTTCAATAGTGAATCAATAAGTAGCAGCTGAAATGTAGATTGACTTTCAAAGGTTCACAGTCCACAGTAGAATATATAGGAAGAGATTTTGCAACGTTATTGTTGCTCAAAGGGTACAATTGCATCTTTGGTAAAGCTCCAGATTTCAGAGCTAGAAAGCAGGGTTAGAATCCATGCAATACCACAATAAATTTCCCACACTTTAAGGTGTGGGTGCATCATAAGAGTGGAAGTCAATCTCTTGGCATGGGTAGTTGAGTACTGCTGAGTGGCTGCCTTTCTTCTGGTCAAAATTAGGGATGGCAGCAGAAAGCCTTAGAAGCTTTGCTATAAAAACAAAATATTGTTGCTCAACAACCATGGTTTGTTTTCATTTTGGGAATTATTTAACTTCCAGACAACCATTTATTATAGTCAGTTATTTGGCAGCAAAATTTGTCTTGAATAGACATATAGTTTTGTGTATGTATGTATATGTGTGTGTGTGTGTGTGTGTTTGTATCATTACAATAATATTTCATTCAGTAAAATTAATAAAACACAATTTTTTAATAAAATTTCTGAACATCATTTAAAGTACAATTTAATTTTTCTTCAGGATATTTTAACATCAACGACAAACTGTATTGCGACATCCATGCTAAACAAGCAGCCAAGATCATAGCCCCAAATCTTGAGGCAGTACCAGTAGCTCCGTAAGTTTTTTCACCTTTTTAGTGTAAAAGAAAACATCCCATACCTGTGGTTAAATTATTAAGTAACTATTTTTTAGTCATTTGTTTATTCTTCTTGATAGTTTTATCAAATATATTCCTTAAAGTTCCAATTCAAACATTATGCCAAGAAATGTTTTGTTCACTTATTTGTATCATATCCTGTGTATGTCAATTCTGTAATTGTGTTATGGTTTTCTGTAAGATTATACAACAAGAACTATAGTCCATAAGTACTGAGGTACATCAGTGTTAAAGCCTGTAATTAACTCAACTGTGTTAATAAATACATTGGGAAAACTTGCATGAAAATTTCACTTCTATTCATGAAGCTTTGTTGATCACATTCCTTGGACACTTATGTAGTGACTTCTATTATATGTTAATAGTCTACACTTTTCTTCTGAAAATGATTTAAAAACCTGTAAAAAATATCACTACATCTCTTTTAAATGTTTATTTCAATATAATGCATGATATAAATTGGCTGATACAGATTAAATTCATGTTACATGAATATCTTCTTTTTTTATATTTATATTATTTAACTTTCCTCTTACATCTACTTGTTATGCTTTAAAAATTTTTAATTTTAGTATTTCGTTTTATGTTTTAATCTTAATTCATATAATTTTAATGTGATAAAATTGTAAAATCCTTAGAATGTGTTACTTTATTCTCTGATTTATTTAAGTATATATATGAACTCTGGCTAAACACTTGGCAATAACTGTAGTATGTTTTATTTATTCATATATCTCTTTTTCTTTATGAAAAATTTGTTTCAGTAATAAACATTTTGAATTTTACTGAGGAAAAAATGTAAAAATATCTTTCTGTGAATCTTTCTCAGAATGTAAATATAACCAATAAATAAACAATTTTGCATCATATATATAATTACAGCAAATGTCATGTCACGTTTTAGAAGAGCTTGAAGCAGAAAGGATGTAGATACATTTTTAAAGACTGTATCTTTTTAGGAAATTATGAAAGGAAGAATAGAAAAAACCTCTTTATAAGCAAAATATTATCTCTAAAATTATGGTTTCTTAATCAATTGTAACCCATAACAACTGTCTTCATAAGAGTTGTCATCAAAAAATGAAGCTGTGATCATTGCCTATTGATGGGTTCTTAAAATATATGTAAGCAGTTTACTGTTATTCAAAAATTGAAAGGGAAATGGCTTGTAGTTTGAGGTGAAGCAATAGCTAAGTTCTGCTGATCTAAACTTGGGTTAGTTTAGCAACCACTAGACTCTTGGACTTGTCTAATAACATAAGCTAAGGATGAGAAGCAACTATAGGTCCAAGAAAGATACTGATGATTGTTAATCAACAGAACTCAGTAATACAGATGTTCAAGTTTTTTAATAACAGCAAAGGTCTGATAACATGATACTATGTTTGTATGTTCAGTAGTTCACTATTTGTCAAAAAAGTTTTTAGTCATAACACACTTTACTAATGAAGTTTCAGTCAGAAATGTTTTATTTGACATCATAGTTAAATGGATAAGTATAGATATTTTTCTTGCAATAACTAATATTGGTTGTTTTATCATCGGTTTTACTGGAAGTGGTCCAGAACCAATTGCCAGCATTATGGAGGAATCAAGGTTAGTGTAAGGAGCCTGGAATCCCAATTCAAAAATAATCCCATGTTTCAATCAAGTTCATTTAGAACATTGAATGTATTTTTCTGGTAGAACAAACCTTTTGTTGTTGTTGTCAAAAATAGTAGAATGATTCCAGAGCTACCAGTGCCCTGCAGTGTAAGAGATTCCTTTTCCATACAAGCATGATATTCCTGTATGTCTAATGCTCTCCCCAAAATATAAAAATATAGAAACTTTACCTCAAAAAAGGCAATTTTTCTGAGCCTATGTTACCATATAAAAACGAAAAATTCGTAAAGTGCATGGTATTTTGATAATTAGTGACTTTTTAGAAATATTAGTTTTAGGTTTCATCATAATTATGAGTTATAAAACTATTTTTAGTTCCCATGGTCTTAAAACTTTTTAGATATGTTAATAACTGTAATAAAAATATTCATGTACAACATGGATCAAAAATTTTTTCTCTTAGAACCTTCCAGTGCTGTATTTTTTAATCTCTAGAAATAAAATATTGAAGTATCTTCCACAAAATATGTCCCACTTACTTTTGAATAAGTAACAGTGAAATAGCTCATATTTTGTAATTGGTGTATGGAAGCAGTCATAGTAGTGTGCAGACTAATTGCTTGAATGTTTATTTAAATTCTGTAATTATTGTTGGATTCTAATGACCATTCATAATTGATTGATTAAGTAAATGTGTTATGAAACATACCTATCAGAAGATACAATGTGTTATAAAGTTGGTATTTGGAAAAAGAGAGGAAATTTTAACTTATTATAGCTACAGCTTACAATATTTTACAATGTTTATTTACTATAATAATTAATAATACTGACACAGAGCACATTAATGTGAGCCGTGAACAACTAATTAGGTTTCTCTACCAAGAGTAACTTCTCATTTATGAACTTGCAGATCTTACAGTGTAATCAGTACCTTTTCTATGGTATTCTTCATTAAACTTTAAAAATGCAATAGCATGAATTATAAAAAGCAAAAAATGCAAATAATTTTTCAGAGGATTTGTAGTCTCATAAAACTAGTATAAATGTTTCCAGATTGTTCTTTTTAACCTTCTTTATCATTCACAATATTTATTAGGATATATGCTTATATAATTTTTTATACTACTTATTCATCTGAAGCCATATTGTTACATCAAAAGGAGATCAAGGACTTCTTTTCTCAAGTTTCAAAATATAAATTTTTGTCTTTCATATACTTTTGTAAAATACATTTACATTTTATATATGTAATAGGTATATCAATGATACTATAGATTTCCTGGGTAAATTAATTTCTATAAAAATACCATTATAAGTAATATCTATTATGAACATTATATATAAATTAAACGTACATGTTAACATTTGTACCTTAGCTTTATTGATTACAAATACTATTGTAATGGTTAATTTCTATAGTTGGGTAGGTTCTTTTGGATTATTCCATAAAAAAGAAGAATGTAAATGTCAGTCCATTGAGTGATAAACAAAGCATTTTATTTCTTGAACTTTACATTTTATAATTTAGCTTAACTAATGTTCATTAGTAGAGTTAACTTCAAACTAGACATTAATACAACAGTTTCACTTACTTGCCATTTTTCTATAAATGTATATCTTTAATACTTCATTGAAACACAAACTTAATATTCACAAAACTACAGTAAAAGATAAACTGATTAACAAACTTATTAACTCAATAGTAAATCCACCACTGTAAAAGACTCAAAATATCAATCAGTAATTAACTGTGTCCCACATTTTATACTGTTCAGATCCTTTCCTTTGAAACTCCCTTTAGCCAGTATGAATATACAAATGTTTGGATTTTAAAAAATACACACACACACATATATATCATAGGCTATGTATTATTCTCCTCATTAAGCAGTTGTTAATTAATTGTTAACAATACAAAAGCATAGATTATTGTAAATGAACTTGAAGACTCAGATTAAAATATGTTCAATCTTCTTTTTCATTGTCAAATCGTCCTTAGATACTAGACAATAAAAAGTTTTTACTAAATGGGATGTTTTGTTGGATTGCAAGTTAAAAATATCAAGATTTTGTAAAGCTGTGTTCAATATATTTTTGAATTTCCTGAAGAACTATGGACTACTTTACTTTGTGAATATCTACTTTGGATTGTTATCAATAAATTCACATTAAATATTTTCAAATCATTTTGAAATAATAAACCTAGAGAATCACTTTTACCAATATTGCTAGTTCAAACTTAATGGAATAAATTAATTAATTACACTTTACCTCAGAAATTCTATTCTTTTTAGTACGTATTCTTATTTTTTAAAGTTTTTTATACTTTCATCAATATCTATTTCTAACACTGAAATGCTTTCTTTGGAAGTTACTTTGTTGCATCTCTTCAAAAATTAAACCTTAATTATTTGCTGTTATTTAATTTCAATGTAATGTTTTTTTTGTTTGTTTTAGTGGATTTTCAATCCCCTCTGATGCTCCTGTCATTGGAGTTGGCCATACCCCTCCTGCTGCTCCTGAAGTAACTTCCAAACCAGTTTTGACAACACCCCTAGCACCTACTACTCCAACAAGTTATAGCAATGTGTCTCCCATACCGTTCCATGTAGGTTTTTACTCTTGTATTTTATAGAAATAGAGTAACAATTTAGTTTCAAACTGTGTTATGTAAGAAAAATATTTGTTCTGTAATAATCATAATTTCAAAGTACAAAATATATATTTTGAAAACATCATGCATGAACATGAATCCAAACATATAAGTACTTCTGTCAGATTGAAAAAAAATTAAAACAGAATTATATTTTCCAATGTTCTGCATTGTGTGTACCCACCATAATTAATGCTGTAAAGGTTAAATTCAAGTATTTATTTCACTTTAAAGTCACCTAAAGATAAAGATAAAATACTTTTATTACACATAATTGAGTTTTGAAGTTATTAATTTCAGTGTATACTGCTTTCTTCATTCTGATACATAAATTGTAATAATGAATTGGATGAAGAGTAAATAAGTGGCATCATATGACTGAAATTCACACTATACTTTTAGATTAATAGTGTTAAATGCATGTTTACATTTTTACTGCTGACTTTCCTATGTTCATTATAATAACAAACATCCAGTTAATTAAGTTGTAATTTAATGTCAATAAATAAGTCAATAACTGTGGTACTCTCCCTCACTATTTTTATGTTTAAATAAATTTTGATTGTATTAACTTACAACTAGCTCATATGACAGAACACACTGGCTGAAAAGCCTTGGTTCAAGTATGGGTATGTATGGGGGTTGTCAGTCGTAAAATCTCAAGTTATTGGAGAGAAAATATGTATTTTCTCAATCACAATTCTATTGAAGCATGAGAAAACCAAAACTGTCAGTTGAATTTTTTTTTTTCATATTACTTATAAAATCCTGCTACTTCACATGACAGTAACCCTTTTTTGTTAGTTCAGCCAGTCAATATTTTAGTGTTAGTCTCTTATGTTTGTGGGTCCTATATCTTGGTTAACATAAGTTTCAAAGTTATGTATTAGAATTTGTTAACTATTTCAGTTGGTTTATGATATTTCTCTTTTATAGTAAAGATGCCCTGCATTTGGTGTAGTTTTTTTTAGTTAAACACATACTTCTATATTATTATATTCTAAAAGCGAGTGCGGTTAAGGCTGTTCAACTCTCCATGTAGAATTAGCATTGTTTCACTTGATTTGGTGACTTGAGTAATTGATGTAATAATTCATTCGTCCTTATCAATTCGATCTGAGCTCACAACTTCAAAGGTATACACTTTAGGTTTGGACAATTCTCTCATTTAACTGAGGATGATAAGGTGAAGTGCAAGTCTTCACCACACCCAATACCGTGTAAACATTTGGCAAAAATCTGACTTGAAATTTGCTTCTTAATCAACATGTTCTCTTCTGGTGTTCAGAGAGAGATATTCACTGATCATCTAATATTTTGATGACGAGTTTGAACATTGATATCAGTCACCACATATGCTTCAGTCAACTTAGTGAAATAACCAATTACCATCAGGGTGTAATTATTGCCCTCTGTGTTTTTTTTTGGAGGGTCTGGTGATATCCAAAGCTATTCTCTGAAATGGAGAACCTACAATTCACTGATGGAATTGTCTTTGATGTAGACAATTCTTTCTATGAGTTGTACAAGCACTGTAGTGTCTATACTGTTACTACAAATTTGCAGAAATGCATCCAGTAAAACCATCTTTGCAGGTTAGCTGTAGCATGAGACACTTCCATGGTGTTTTTCAATCCATGTACATCTTGGAGATTTTGGGACTACTAGCTTCATAATTGAGTTATAATAATGATATAGTACTCTCTCACATAACTGTAACTGATCAAATTACAAGAGGTTATGGAATTTAACACTACATTAACTGGTCTGTGATGGTTGCACTTGCATCCAATTAGTTCCCAAGCTATATCTAGGTCCTTTAACTCTTACATCATCTTTGGTATCCATTCATCGGTAGAATCTTCACTATTGACATGATTTGTTCTTGCAGTTGAGACTTAAGATTTCACAGCAGCACTATGTCCAGGTTATGGATATTCTACAAATAGAAAAAACTCTTCTGCCAGCAAGAACATCCATCTGTATTTCCATGCTGGAGGTCTGATCGGTGTTGTATGATGAAGTTGTACTCCTGTAACATTGGGATTCAACTTATAGTCATACCTTCCAATTTTCTATATTTCATCAGCAATTTCACTAATGTATAATCTACTCTAGCAGTAAATTTGATGCCACACAGATATGGCAAAAGTACTTGATGAATATTACAGGTGTAAACATTTCTGTTCTTTCTTCATTTTACTGTAAATGCACATTAGTGTTCAACTCATATATGATATACTTTACACAATATTTTGTACCTGTTTTTAGGCTCTTTGATACTACTTGTTACTAACACCTGTATACATGATGAATTGAACATCTGGTTTTGGTTAAGCTAACACATTTCTCTGACTTCTTTCAGACCTACTTGTTATTAATATTGAAACAGCATATCCAGGTTTTTGTTGTGAGGTTCTACATAAATAAGACACTTCCCATTGAAAACAGCATGCTACGAGCTCCATAAATTGTTTGAAAGCATCTGGCAAATTACAGAGACTGAAATACATTAAAGAAAGGTCCTATAACATTTCTTGAAAGTTGAAAGTAGTTTTTAGTCATCCAGCTCAACCTAAAAATAGCCAAAGACAAGATCTAGGAAACTAGACTAGTAGGATACTATCAGTGCATCAAGTCATCTGTTTGCACATAGCAAAGGAATGAATCAACACACATTACTACATCAATCTGAAATCCACACAGAACTGTAGAATACTTCCTCACTTTCTAATGGCAATGACCACTACTTTTTGAAAGTTGAATGATCCTGTCCTTCAACATCCAATCTGTCTTAGTGCTGGCTATATCCCTGTGCCACGATTGACCAAACTGTTCACCATTGTGACAGGTATCTCTTCTTTCATGATGTCTATAGTTCAGGGAATCTCCCCATCCACATTATCAGCACAGGTGGAGCAGCAGGTTCAAGTTATCACTGCCACTTGGCTGGAAGCCATTCATACTGAAAAGAGTCACTATGTGGTATCTGTATCCAATAATGTGGGGTCATCATAATGTCTCAGGTGTAGCGACAACAACGACTGTTGTAGGCTTCTGCTTTGATAACTTAGTTGAGGTTACTGCCTTGACTCATGTTGTCACTGACACAGCTTCAGCTAGAGAAATAATAGTTCTAAAACTGAAACTTTGTCATATGAACTTGATAAGGACTCATTCCATAAAGTTTTTAATCAGAATATCTTCTTGGTTGGCTTCTTCCCTCCCTGCTGGTGTATTCTTTACAGTGTAAGCATCAATGCTTATCAGCATATGCAGCTTACTAAGTTTACAAGCACTAAATTCTGTCTGATACAGACTTGAAAAATTAAAAATGGTAAAATTTTAGTATTCAGAAATAAACAACAGTATTGAGATATCCTGTTCTGCATAGAGATTGTTTATATGACAGGATAAATAGTATTGTCAACTCTTATTTTTGTCTTTGATACTAGACACAAGTTTATGTTTCTCATCTTGTAGTACAAGTTGTATGACTCTTGTTGACTCTTGCAGTATATTTCTGTATTTTTATATGCCCTATTTTTAAAGTGTGAAATTAATTACTGTTTGCTGGCTTCAGAATAAAGGTATTGTTGACTTCCAACTGGCTTTCTTTTTAAAGTTAGATATGGGTTGCTTTTTTCTGGACTCTTACAGTATAATTAGTAATCAACTCCTGTCTGTATATCTCATTCTCCCTGTGTCTTAAAAGCTATTTATAAATAATGTTAGTTTACTGACTCTCATAAATAGTATCATTAACCCCTATTGTTGTCTTTAAATCTGGACGTGAGATTATGTCATTTAAAGTCATTTATTGACTCTTTAATGAAACACTTTAATACACAATCTTAATTTACTGCTTGTAAGGTTTTATATGTTTTGTAATTTATTTTTTAGATCAAACATGCTAATGATTAATTTATAGTATGCAGATTATTTAAATTTTTAATATTTATGTGAATTTTAAAAAGAAAATCTATAGTCAAATGAATAAGTAAATTGTAAAGCTCATTACCAACTAAAACATTTGCAGAAACATGGCATTGAATAGATAATGTTAATTTTTGTTTGTTTGTAGACTAATTCTAAGTTCTTCATTTATTTAAGATAATGTTATTAATGAAGTATGATTAAAGAAAACAACTTAAGTTTTGTTTTAGTTTTTCATGATTGTCTTATGTTTATTGAAACTAATCCGAATTATATATTTAAAACTCCTTCCAAGAAATTATTATGATTTTGTCTTGTTTTTCTAAATAATATATTTGTTTTGATTTTTCTGTTGCTTTTCATTTTTGTTTTTCAACATTTGCTGGGTTATAATTGCTTCTCTTGTTTTTATCCTTTAAAATAATTGCATTTCATACTTATCATTATTGATCTGGTGCATGTTTTTTATTATATTGCAAAATAAACATTTCAACAAAAAATTACCATTTTTTTGCAGCACAGTGAAAATTCTAAAGCAAAATGTTTTTGGAGATTGTGTATTACTTAACATTAATTTTAAATCTGAATGAGGATCAACCTAATAAATATTATAGCAAGTCTATTATTTTGTTTTAGAATCATACATATAATCTATAGAATAATATCTAAAATTCATGAATAAATGGCTTGCATTTTAAGTTTAGATAATTTACATTTTGTAACTCAAGGAGAAAATCTAACATGGTTGCATCATAAATAAAGCAGTGGTATGAAACATCGCCTGTTTTTACCTGCAGTTTTTAGCATTATCAGTCCTTATTCATCCAGCTAAGTCAGTAATAGACTAATGCAACTTTATGTGAATTTAAAAGAAACTAAACTTTAGGCCATTATATGTATGTGCTCTAAAAATTTTGCCTTTAATATTGTATAACATAAATTGTAAAATATAATGACATTACTGTTAAGTATTTAAATAACTGGAAGCACCACAACACACACACATAGTTTACACAGTGAAAGATAGCAGAGAGCAAGTTTTCATAAACAAAAATAGCAAAGAGAAAGAAACGGATGGCAGTTCCATTTAGCAACGCTTTTTATACAGTTACCCAATGAAACTGCAGTGGACTATAAAAATGGTACTTTGTCATGATTTTATTTGAATAAAAATATCAAATTATAACAGAAATTGATTTCCAAATACTAATTCAAAGAATTTATGAGTGAAAGCAAATAAAAATATCTAATAATATGTCAATCATACCAGCCTATGTAACAATTTCACCCCCTAGTGACTCATCAATAAGGTTTTGATACCTGTGGTGAGAAGAGCACATATAACCCAGTGCATAGCTTTATGTTTATCAGTAAAAAAAAAACAACTTTCTCATTTTAACTGCAATAAATATAATTAAGTATCTTATAATATAACTTAAACTTGGAAGAGAACAGATCTTTAATGCTGAAATAATAAGGCAAAACTTCTCAGTTCATGTAAATTTAAAAGATGTATAGACATAAGATTTTTGCTGTATGGTTTAAGTTTTTTATGTCAGCCAGCATCTAGCAAAAACTTCTTCAACTTTAGGCTTATATAACAACTGGATAATTTTTACAATGGTTTTATGATTTTTAAGTTTATTTTCGAAATGTTAAAAGTAACAAACTATGCAAAAACTTGTGTCCATAAATAAGAAGGATCATGCTCTTGAAACATTGTACTTTCATATCAAGGTAAAGTAACAGCTTAATGTTAATAGCTTCTACATTATACAGATCTAGACAGCCCTTCAGTGAGTAGTATCTATAATTAAAGGTATTTACATGTTTATAACTTGATGTCACCATTCCTTCTTCGCTGTTGCTAATGTCCTCTAGCGTAGCACCTCAGAGGTGCACCATGTTGATGCACCTACAAGCCCACAGCCCCTGCAGTCGCCACCAGTTTTCGTTCCAATAAGTGGCCCTCCTTCAGCTGACAGGCCTGGTGTTTTCCCTGCTGTGATTCCTGAGGTATCAAAACTTCTTGGGAAATCTTTTATCTTTAGCAGTGAATTAGGTGGTGATAAGTTCAAGTTCAATCTTAAAAAACTTGCAAACTTTGAAATCATTTTTGATAAAATCTATTTCTTGTTCATTTGCTACTTAAGTCTATTGTTGATGCTTGTAAATTACATTGGAACTTATATTTTCTTAAATTCCCACTGCACTCACGGAAAATCTCTTTTTGCATATAAGTGATGCTTAGCATGTTTTGGCTGAACATGTAGATATAAAACTTATTTTTCAAACTTTATTCTCACAATTCTATTTAAATGAAAAGAGTATTAATATTCTGAACATTCTAAAAACAAAAGAAGATTTGAATGTTTCATTTTTGTTTTGTTTTTATGTATATATATGGACCTGAATCTTAAATCACTGCCTAATTCCCTTTTTCTGTAGACCTAGGTTTGGCATTCCCCTTTTGATCAGTATAGTGCTCTGTTATTGGTGACATATTACATCCAGCTTGCTTGAAATTATAGAAGATCACAGCACGAGCACACTGCATGTAACTTGCATTATTGGTGTCATAGGATGTTGCAAAGTTTAACAACATAATAGAAGTCTGCCAAATCAGGCATTTTGTCAACTTTTGTTGCATGAGAATTACAAATATTGCATGTATTTAACCATTATCTCTAATGGTGATTATTTAGTTCAACAGAGAGATTGGCTGTCATACAAACAAACAAGCACTTTAACATTATATGTGTGTGCGTGTGTAAGCTTTGTGTATTAATTATGTAAAACATTGATCTTTTAGGCTAACTCCTGAATGCAATGATACTTTAATTTTTACTCTGAATATTGGAATTAGAATCCCGATAAAGCTTATTTGATGTTATTTGAATATTTAAAAGAAGCAGTAGCACACTCCTTGTGTAATGTTTTGCTTCAGTTGCAGAATCCATTTCTGTGTATGCATGACATAGTACAAGCATGACTGTAGTGATGTCATAAGCTTAATGTTATAGGTTATTTAAGCCAAATAGTTTACAGAATATTAGTGCATTGCCTCATATTCATATTTCCTTGTTTTGTTCATTGCTTGTTATAATTTTGTAAAGTAGATTTTGGTTGATAAACTTTAATTGTAATGTTATTTACTATAATAAAAACTTATGCAACATTCATTAACTATTTTAAACATATCAGCTGTATTTTATGATACTTGATTACTTGCTTTATAAATGTTAATTTGATAATATTGTTGTAATTGTCTTTATCATCTTGTAAAGTAAACTGAAGTAATATTAAATATTTATATTTTTATACAAGTTTACATAATATCTCAGTTGTTTTTTATGATATTAAATCATATAAAATTCATGTTGTTATGAAACTATATTATTCTATATGTATTGGTTCATTCAAAATCATTAGTTAGGTTGTTCAAAATATTCTTTTTTATATTTGTCAGAGATTATAGAAACAAATGAAATGTAAGAAAGTTAAAAAAAAAAAAAACTAGTGGGAACCCAAATCACAAACTGACTAATGTGGGAGCAAACAAAAGTATTAATAAGCTGATGTTAAGAAACAGACTAAACAGTCTTAGGTCAGAAAAATATTAACAAACCTGGGTTTAGAGAAAATATTAATCAGTCTGAAGCCAAGGCACAAACTTATCAGTTTGGGATCTGAGAAAATGGTAACCAACATGAGGTAAAGTCACAAACTGTCAAATTTGTTAACAGAAAAAATTTTAATTATTGTGATTCCACTTATTCCAGAAAAACATTGGACAATTATGATAATGTTACAGCTTTTACTTTTATTATTCTCTCTTAGAGATTCTAGGTATCCTTATAGCACTTTCCTTTCTGTTGTTCTGTCACTATGACCTGGGATGTCCTTGTAATACTTTCTCTTGAATTTTCATCACAAAATGGAGTATCCTTACAGCACTTCATGTTATAGTGTCATCATTATATGGGATATCCTTAAACACATTATACTATTTTGTTATAAGGATATGGAGTATTCTTATTAACATTTTATATTATAATGTCATCACAGCATGGAGTATCTGTATAGCATCTTCTGTAGTATTATCATTACAACATTGGGTATCCTTATAGCAGTTTCTGTTATCTGTTACACTGTCATCACAACATGGGATGTCTTTATACCACTTTCAGGTTATACTGTTATCGCAACATAGGTAATTCATATAGCACTTTCTGTTATTTGTTATATTATAATATTGACATAAAGTGTTCTTAAAACACTTTTGTTATTCTATTACCTTAACATGGGTGTCTTTATAGAACTCCTATTAAACTATCATCATGACATAGGGTCTGCTTTCAGAACTTCCTATTATATTGTCATCACTTTGTAGGGTCTCACTGAACACTTCCTAATCTACTGTCATGCAAACAATAGGTATTTATGAACATTTACTGTACTGCAACTTCATCATGACTAAGGGTATTTTTTTCATAGCACTTTCCATTTTGTCATGTTCAACTCTTCAAAAGTATATGACTGTACTTGAATAAAGCTTAAACTAAAACACTTAAAAGATTTGAAATTTTGGTGTATACACAATTTAAAATATTTCTTGCCAAGATGTATGTTAAGCTCATAACATTTTGATCATGTCATACATACTTTTTAAAAGATTTTAATCATGGTGTTTGTATACTTTAAAAGGTTTTGGATAATGATGTAGATATAAATAAAAAAAAATTATCATGGTGTACAAGTGATCAATCAATGATTATACTAATTCATCTTGTTATATCTGTACTTTTTAAGCTTTGTCAATAATTTTTCTTTATAAAACACCTTTATTGAATGTAGTTATCATATAAATTGTAGTTATCTGATTAAGCTTGATTCTGAAGATAAAACATCATACAATCCTCTAATAAAAGTTTTCACTCAGAAAAGCTGAAATTTATATATATTGTTACGTCTCCGTTTGTTAATTAACTCTCCGTAAATTCGTTCTGACAAAACTTTAACGACACAAGTCTTTA